GTCCGTCCCCACTGTCCCACCCCCCAACACTCCAACAGAGCAGCGCAGAGCTCTGTGCTGCCAGATCTGCTCCCTGCCTGTGCCTGGGCAGGACAGAGCTCCCAGGTCCCTCCTGGTCCCCAGGTGATGCTCCCAGGAGGAGCTGGGTGTCCCGAGGGAGAAGGGACTGGCTGTCCCAGGGATGGGGACACTGCTTTACCAACAGTGACACTGATGGACTCCACTCCCCTGTGAGCACAGAGCCCAGCTTGTCATCAGCCCCAGGGAATAAGATAAACACATGAATTGAAAAGATTCAGTGTTTGAAAGCACTCTGCCTTCTTCCCAAGCATGATTTCTTTAATCTTTCTCTGAAACCTTCGTCTCTGGGGCAGTGAGCCATGGTTTCCATCTAGGCTGGTGAAGGAAGGTGTTTGTGGCAGGGCTTTCCATGCTGACACGCTCTGTCCAGCCTGGGCTGGCACCCAGCCTGGCTCCTGCAGTCTGTCACAATCTGAGTCCCAGAAACCACACATCAGAGAGGCTGGAACTGTCCCTGCAGCTGAAAGGCTGTTTGCTAAGTGTGATTTTATCGTCCTTGGGACGTTTCCCCTCACAATCTCATTAAAGTATTCATGAGTTCTTTCTCTTGACTGGAATAATTAATAAATAGTTGATGTCAGTGCCATAGCTCTGCACTTCCTTTCTGGATAGATCTTTCAGTATTCCACATGTTCCCAGTCTNTGTTCCCAATCTGACACCTCCTGATCAGGGTGCAGAGCTCTGCCTTGTCAGGTGTTCCTCCCCTGAGCATCCCTTCCCCACACAAGTGGGACTCTGACCCTGCCAGGGCGCTTCCCAAGGCACAGATTCCCAGGAATTACAGCTGGGGGCAGCCCTGGAGCCTGGGCTGAAGGTTCCCCATCAAAAGCAGGGTGTAGGTAAGAGCAGTGCTAACCAGCAGTGTTCTTACACATCTTCCTGGTTCTCTAGAGGCAGAATTTGGTTCCAGAGCTTTGAATCTGTTGTTAAAACTCAATTTGATCACACTGCTGGGGCTGAATTTCCCAATCTGCTCCCCCTGCCTTCCTTGGAGCTGGGTGGGAGAAAAGGTGATGGGGAAGTAAAGATGGAGCAATGAGGGGCTGAGACAACCCGTGGGACAGCTCCTGGGAATGCACAGCAGGCAGGGAAATGTGCAGCTTTACACATGGCTCTTGCAGCCATCAATTTTATCATTACTGGAGAAGGTCCCATGTACACAGCTGATTTTCTGCTGCCTCCAGATGGGGTCACAGCTGGGTCACTCCAAGCATATGCCCTCTTCTATTTTATTCCCTCCCTTCAGAAAGGGATAGCTGTTTCCTCAGCAGTTTGGATTCTGTGTTTAACCCTCCCTGTGCAGTCTCCCACCGTGGCGTGCTGTCACAGACTGCACAGCATTGGCTTTTTCTCCAACATGCCACAGACATTTTGGAGCCTCCACAGCAGGAGTGGTTCCTGAGCAGTGTGGCATGGCTGGGTTTGCTCAGTGCCAGGTGTGACCTCACTGATATCCCGGGCTGACATCCTGGGCTGATAACCTTGGCAGTGACATCCTGGGCTGCCATCCTGGNAAATGTTTTCAGTGGAGGATAAGCAGGCGTTTAGGATTCCTACTACATCTGTAAGTGGCCTTGGCAATGCTCAGGGATAAATGCATCCTGTGCTCAAGCAGTTCACAGTTACCATTGTCATGGTGACCTTTGCTGTTGTCCTCATTCAAATCTGGCAGGAGATAAAGGCTGGAACACTTCTGAGAAGCAGAGGAGAATGGAAAAAGCTCATTAATATTTCACTGAAGAGTGGTGAATGAAATCACACAGTCACTGCCATGAGTTTCCTTATCAGCAGACAAGATGGAGTGGAGGGATCCTGGCACTGGCAGACGTTTTCTTGTGTGAAGGATTCAGTTTGAACAGATTTGGGGGTTTTAGAGCCGTGTTCTCATTGAACAGGGAGCTCTGCTCAGACTTGACCAGCTCCCAGTTTTCCCTGTTGCTGAAGGTTAGAGATACCCAGTGAGTGGTACCAGAGCACTGCCTTAAGATCTTTGTTCAGTTTAATTGAAATTGAGGACTGAAGGGAGGCTGGGCATTGGCAAGGAAATGGGAAATGTACTGTCTCAAAATAGGAGAGCAGAGAGGACACTGTTAGGGGCTCAAGGACCAGTGCTCACTGTGGAAAGGCTTCTGGCAGGTCTTTCAGAGGCACTGATATACGAGACATTAAAATAATAACAGAATCTGATTCAGGAGCCAGCTCAATTCCAGAACTGTGCTATGGATGTCAGGCCCTGGTGGAGTGCTGGCACAGGAGTGAGTAATACAAAATCTGTAATAAAAGCACTGGTAAAATGGACAGGAAAACAAAATTACTGCACCTTTCCCTATGAAACAAATCTCTTTTCTGTCCTCTAGGGCTTGTTTTCTGCCATTTGTGAGAAAGAAAGGCCCATTTTGCCATCTCATGCAGCTTGCTCCAAATGAGTTTAAATTTTCTCTAGACTAGGAAATTTTTTGCAGATCCTAACAACTTCAGGAATTCTAGCAGTAAAGGCTTTTAATGGGATTCTCTAATTTAGGCTCAGGGTCTAACAGTAACCTGTTTTTCCAGGCCCAATGCATCTGGCAGCATCTGGGTATGTAATCCTGGGAAAAAAAGGGTTCCTGAATAAAATTAATGATTAAAAATAATGCCAGCACCCCAGCACCTCACCCCAGAAGTAAAGCCATCATTTTGGGCTTGGACTTAACACTTTATCTCTCAGGTTAGCAACTGTAAGCTAAAGAAAGTTGCATATTTGCATTCATTTTTGCACACATAGCAGTGAAGTTAAATTTAGTTTGTAAAAAGACTTCACGAAAATACAATACGAGCATACAAATCAGGCAGTCTTGTGAGGCTCAGTAAACATAAAGGAAGCAGCATTTTAATCAAAATGAGGAATTGCATCCTAATCACCTCTGAGCACATGCATATTTCATAAGTACATGTTCTGCAGAGCAAAGGCTGTGTAAGGAAGGGGCTGCTGATGCTCAGCTCTCAGCTCTCTGAGCCCCAGCCAGGCTGGCTCTGCACAAACCCAGCCTGATGGGAGCCCTGCCTGCTCGTGGCTGTGGGAAATGTTTGATAAAATAAAATCAACCAGAGCAGCAGCCGGGCTGTGGGGAGC